CCCNACATTTTTATACTGTTTTTAATGTTCCTGAATGATAGAACCAATAGTAAATAATTCCTTGGTTTTTTTTAAAGATGCGGGTATTGTTCAGTTTAATGGTGTTGATTTTATTTTCAAGAGCGACATATTCAGATGATACAAAGGTAGGGTGAATTTACATTAGTTTGAAAATGAGAAGATATCCTAGTTTTAAGGAATTAGGAAATTCTCTTAACGATCACAGCCCATTCCTCTTTTTTTAACAACCAAGCCCAGACGGCAGTGGCGGTTTAAACATTTTCTAGATATGTCGCTTTATGTTTTGCAGTCCAACAGTTCAGTAAGCGATGAAATCTTGGAACAGTCTATATCCGAGGCAAAGGATGAAAGCCGGGGGAGAATAGAAGCTGTAGCTATAGGCGGAGGAGTTGATTTTATTGTCAATAACCAAAACGTAAGTCAAGCTTACTAAAGATGAGGTACGGTGTTTCATTGCTTGTATGATGGGCGGTAATCGATCCAATTAAATATAAAATAAATAGAAGGGAATGCATAAAGTATGGACACAGATACTTCTACTTTTGACAGTCTAATGAAACTTTCGTTCCGTTTATCTATTAGCTTTAATTTTCAATACAGCCACTTCATTTAGGGTCTACCGACAACCTTCTTGGCGTTCGTCAAATTTACCTTTTGACCTAACCTGATAAACATCGCGTCACAAAATGCCAGTGCCGCAAAGGGAAGAAATTTGAGTGGTTAAAGCAGACGTCATCGAGTTAGGTGAAAAGGTTAAATTGACGAACAGAACGTTTAAAGAGGGCTGTCGTTAGACTCTAACTTAAGTGGCTATATTAAAACTAAAAGCTAAAAAAAATAACGGAATGAAAGTTTAGTCTAATTTTGATTAGACTGCATTTTCGACTGTATCGGTTATCCCGCATATTACACCGTACCTCAAATTCTCATAGCTTTTTCTTTCAATCCCATGGGTAAAATGAAATTAATGGAGTTTTACGTCCTACTTTTCTGCACCTTGTGGGCTAATGAAGACGGGCAACGCCATGCAGGATGCCATGAGGGAAATTTTGCCAGGACAGCGGCATTAGCCTGCTTTTTTTCGATTTCCAACTGTCAAGGGATCTTTAACGTACACAGCCTGTAGTACACGGGGCCTCGGTTTATTGTCCCATCCGAACGACTAGACGCTTTTTCCATGTCAGTCCCTCTTACCTGCATCACTGACAGGGGGAAACCGGGTTGAAAAATCCGAAGGTATCATCTCGACCTATGCCGGGATTGAATCCTGGACCTTCAGGTGAACGAGCAAGCGTCTAACTCACTGAGCAATCCCATGGGTAAAGAATGAGGATAGAGCAAAAGCATTATCCAAATATGACCTGCTATTTCAAATTTAAACGAGATGAATTATATAGCTCATATCAGTTTTTTTTTAAATTTGCGTCTTATCCTCATATCAGAGACCAATGGATGAAGAGTCTGACAATCCCGAAGCGTTAGCAGCTCTTGAAGCTTCTAGACAAGGCGGTGAAAATGGAACCATACTCGAGGTAAATACAATATTTTACAATATCACAAATTCCATCAAGTACCAATAAAAAAATCCCATTTTCTGTCTTGACTATTTGTAAATAGTCTTCAGAAGTACCGGAATTGCACGAATATAGCAAAATCCCTTTAGATATGCCTCCAACTAGAATTTTCACTTTCTATTTATATATACATCTGTATGTATTTTCTATAAATGACAGAGTCTCAAGAAAAGTTGAGTCGTCATTTTAACTTTCAAACGCAGATAATTCTGGACACAGATGGATTTGCTGTGCAAAAAGATGGCGAATATGACCCTTTGTATTATATAGGATACGTTTAAGGTCAAGGTCTGAAATGTCAGATATATTTTGCAGCGATTAAGAAGAGCACCACAAGAAAATGGAGAAAACGACCAGAATCAGGTAGGCCAAACTTCTGCTAGAAATAAATACACAGACGCCCAAAAATAAAAATAGGAAAATCAAAATAACAAAATCTTTGAGAGAGAAGGGACTATATCCTGTGATCTTAAGTTGAAAAAAAATTTACTTATTGATCTAATGAAGACCGGTAACGTCATGCAGTGTGCAATGAGGGAAATTTGGCCTGGAAAGCGGACTTAGCCAACTCTTTTGTCGAGGGATCTTTAACGTGCACAGTCTGTTGAAAAAATTAGACCCATGCCGGGATAGAACCCGGACCTTCTGGTTAGCGAGCAAGCGTCTAACTCACTAAGCCACCGTGGCTCTCAGGCCTGAAGTTGAAGGAGTGTTGTTCAAAACCAATTTGGTTTTTTTTTAGAGAAGAGGACTTGAACAGAACAGAGTCAAAAGATTTATTGTAAAAAGTGAAAGTTTAAGATGGGATCATGGCATTGTGCCTTTTCAATTCAGCAGTGGTGTTGGTAAGACATAACTTTTTCACAATGGTATCACAAAATGTTTTGATTTTCTTCAATAAAATATAGAGTAATTCTCTTCCCCAATCTTCCAACATACTTGAAACATTTTGTAAAGTAGCATGAATTCTTCTATTGTACAATTAGCTCATATATAAAATCTTTTTCATTTGCCAAAATGCAATGTTCAAGTCAAACGTAGTAAAAACATTTTTACTATCCACAAAATTAGTATTCTTCCTTAAAACGTAATTAGAACCTTACATCCAAATCGAGTGCAAAGTACATTTCAATTTCGTAATCAATACAAATTCGTTGACTTTTGCCCGGTTTTTCTACCGTCACCAGCGGAAGTTAAACCACAACGTTGCTATACAGACGAAAATTCAAACGTTATAATCATTAGGTTTTACAATGTTGACTCTTTCTATGTTTTTTTTAAGACGACACCAATAAATATCAAATTCAAGCAGCAATGAACAGATACGAGATGCTGACGTGTATCCGGTTTGTGCCCAATTCAGCAGATGTCAAGTCCACGTACAAAATAGATCATAATGGCGTTGTTGAATTTGTCAACGGTCCTGGGTAAGCATTATCATTAACCCTTACTAACATAAGATAAATCCAAAACCAAAATCGATCAACAGTAAAAAAAAAGTGAAGGCATAGTACAGAGGGAAGGGAGTAATTTATGGGAAAATGGAAGAACGATACGTCCTTACAAAAAAGAAAGATTCCTATGGCTATGGGTGAAGGTTGAGTAACAATGTTGACTAAATTTGGTCATCGCTACAAATGAATCGCAACAGACTATGGTATTTTCGGCACTGTTGCTGTTTCTTTCTTGTTCTATCGATGGGAAACTCGACAGAGAGGTACTCAAATGTGGCATGAATATTCACTGCAAATTCCAACGCTTCCTTCCATCTTAAATTAATTGCCCAAGTGTTGAAGTTACGGGCCGTATTTTCATTATACGTCTAAATTCACTTAGTTGTGCTCTTTCTACATGAACTGGATCCAATGTGCCTAAAATTTCAGATGTTGGGCAACTCAAGGAAATTCCAGAAAAACTCAACATAACAGCTGCTGTGCTAAAGATACATGTTTCCACGAATTAGGTCATACTTTAGGTCTGATCCACGAGCACCAGAGTCCCATCAGGTGGGGAAAGTTGAGGATAGATTGGGAGAACATTAAATCTAGTGAGTAATCAAACTCTATATCAACCGGATCGTGTGTATTTACAACGATTCGTGTCAAGTCCGGTGAAGGATACGGCGAAGGATTTTCAGTATACGTGAGCGACAGTATATCAGACCCGGGCACATATCTCGTGTGTATTCTGTTCTTCTATTTTAGATTGTGTCGTTAACTTCGCACCATTCCGTACTGTACATGATACTCCGTCTATTCGTACCTTGAAAAGTATAAGGGCGTCATACTGAATATATTATCTAGTAAGCTCATGAATGTAATCTCCAAAAAAAGTTTTGAATGACCAGAATTAGTGTAATAATGCATGAGGAGGCATGATAAACAGAGTTACAGAGTCATGAACTGCAGTAATTATAGCTGTCATCTGAGAACAAGATCTTCTTTAGTAGGACACAAATCTCCATTCCATTCCATTCCAGATTTGATGATTTGGTTTAGTGAAGACGATACAGACTACGCTACATCCTTGGTAAATTATGACATCACATCCCGGATGCACTACTCATTTCACGTAAGTTGAGATCTTGTTATGGACACCTAATCCCACTCTCCCTCGCAGTGCGTAGGTGGCAATTGCAACCACTAGGATAAAAACTTATTCTCATCAAAATAATACAAGATTTCTTTTTGTTACTTTGATGCATGCAATCTTACAACACGTCCTTGAGCAACATGTTCGTGAGTTATAAATGATTCAACCAATCAAATGCTTTTGTTCAGTATAAGCTTTGCTATCTCGAAAACACAGTTCCGGAACAGCTAGTTTTAGAATTGAGAGATTAACTTTTCACTATCGGTCTTTAGGCGTTTGAACAAAGGACACGAACTCTTTCACTATATTCCGATCTGTAATTCACAATAAAGCAACGAAAAGTCACGACCATTGAAGTGGAAGCTTATGTGATAAAGCATATATGCAATTAGTTACGTCATCACCCACAGACGTCTTACTGAAAATTGGAATGGTCTAAATTGATGCTATCAGTATCCCCAATACACATAAAAAATTTAAAAAACCTCTTCACAATCCTATTGATATCAAAGATGACGATAATATGTTACAGGCCTTTACTAAAAATGGGGAACCAGTCATGTCTGAACTATATCGTGGACCAAACTACAGAGCCGGTACTGGAGATTACTATGCCATAAAAGAACTTTCATTGGCTCATGAATGCCAAGGTTTGTTCTCTCTTTTGTTTAATAAACAATGTTAACCAGACATATTCTTTGGTCAATATCAACAAGTATCAATCGACAGAAGCATTAACTAATGTCAACTATGTGACTATTTTGAAATTCCGGAAAGGTCAATTGACGTCATTTCATTTATGGGGGACCATTTGGATTATAATCGTTCAAAATACTGTTTATTTATTTATTTATTTGTTACAGAGGAGTTCTGTTCATCTGAAACTCTACAGTGTGTAAATGAAGGATATATGACCTTGATAAGAGGTAAATGTCAATGCACGTGCCCTGATGGTTTAGATCCGAAGAAGGGTTGTGCGGATATACGAGAAAAAGGTAAGTATCGGGGCAGGGAATGGGCATACAAAAGCCCAGGTTCAGGGAGGGGCGTGTTTTGAGGCACTAGAGCTTTTTACAACGTCAACGTATAAAGCCAACATAATAGCTCGAATGATGAAAGTTTTAAAGCAGATATTGAGTTTGTAGACGAACCATACTCCCATAGCCATAAGTGATACAGATAGCTGAATTTAATTTCTATTGGTTGGAATGCATAAATTAGACAAATGCAACGTCAAAACAAATTCTTTCAGATTCATTCACTACCTGGCCAAAAGGTACTTACTCCATTTTGAAACCAGCCTCTAGTTGTCCAGACGGATTTAAAGAAGGAAAGGTAACGATACATGGTACTAGAACTGGTAGATCTCGACTATTCCATCTGGGGGCTGGATATTGGGGAACAAACATAGATATGGACATTTGTACTCGAGATGAAGATAACGGAAGTGATGTCAATTGGGAACCAGGGGATTATTGTATCTTCAGAAAGGGAGGCACTTGTCCGTCAGGTCAGTTATTTTGTGTTTTCCTTAAACTTTTCTTCGACACCTTTGGCTTCAACTGTGGTCAAAATGAATTGAAATGAATGGAGTTTTACGTTCTACTTTTCTGCACCTTGTGGGCTAATGAAGACGGGCAACACCATGCAGGGTGCCATGAGGGAAATTTTGCCAGGACAGTGGCATTAGCCTGCTCTTTTTCGATTTCCAACTGTCGAGGGATCTTTAACGTGCACAGCCTGTAGCACACGGGGCCTCGGTTTATTGTCCCATCCGAACGACTAGACGCTTTTTCCATGTCAGCTCATCTTACCTGCATCACTGACAGGGGAAACCGGGTTCCCACTGTGGTCAAGACAATACACATGTAGAGATCGAGTTTTACGCCCTTCAGATATCAATTCATGTGAACGGAGTTTGTTTGAAATAGAGCAAACCAAACAGAACTTTGTTTAAATTAAACCAATGGATATAAATGGTTCAACTAGGATCACACCGTCCCATTCTGTTCCTGTACGAGACCATTTTCAACAAACACCCATTGTTTATAGGATTCTACGAAAGTTTTGTCCAATTTGGAGAAGCTACTCCCCCTATCACCAGCGGTGTGTTACCGGATGGAACCTTTGATGAACACACTAGGCTCAGGTTCTGTTGCCGAGCAGATGGATTTTCAGACACACCAATCACACTTCCAAACACATCACCAATGGTACTTTTTAAATTCCGAGGACAATGCCAACAAATCCAAGGTATGTATGCATTCCGTATCCATCGTATTGTTACACTTCCTATGTACATGTACTCCAGTATGGACCCCTGCGTTCGATTGTCCGCTTTTCAAGTTTAATACAACGTCTTGTCTTGCATTCTTTAACTTATCCTGCGTTCAATTTTCAGAAAACTGTCAATTAAAGTTTTGCTAATCGAACGCAGAGCTGTGTTAAATCAACGTTTGGAAGCAAAACGCCATTTTATTTTCATTTTCAGGAATGGCTCACATGCAAGAAGACTTTAACTTATGGAGCGGTACGGCCGAGTCTCATAAAGTTCCAGAATATGGCTTCTCGGAGAATGCGCCACATAAAGTTGAGATAACTCGATACAACCTTCTTGGTTTTTATGTTTGTTATTACGCTCCTTTGAATTACGGTAAGGACAATTTTGATGGGAAGACTATAGAAGCAGATGCTCTCTCAAGGGTGTTTCGAGTTCACCTCAGAAACTAACTTTTTAAGCATCGACCCATATTCTCGCCATCTATTTTAACCACTTTAAATTATGATAAGGACGGTCAGTATTGAGTTTATAAGACATTGCTCTAACAAGAGAGTTACTAGTCATCCGAATACAACTAGCCTTTGTCCAACTACCTATATTCCAAATTCCCTCGAATTGGGGTTTGTACATTCATCATATTTATCACGAATCGGGCTTCATGTCCATCCAGAGAAGGTTGTGTAGGTGGTGATTCATAGATGCTGTTTGGTATTTACAGGTTGTGGTAAGATTATAAATCTGGATCGAGATCATCCCGAAGAAGAATTTACCAGTCCTAATTTTCCATCCAATTATAATGATTTGACAGAATGTAATTGGCTTATCAAGGTAACCACACCCACTCATCCAAAGCCACACCCTCTCGCGTTTGTTCAATCACTTTGATTCCATGAAATTAGCAACTGTGACATTCTGTGACATCAATTTTAAAATTAAGGGTCACAGTTACTTTGCAGACGCTTGTCTACCCCCGTATACAATCAAATAATCCACTCCAGCACGGAGCCACGCCCCAAAAGGCAACAGTATAAGCAAATGGTTGTTTGTTTTTACATCTCATTTAAGCCACGCCCAAAAAAACATGGCTCAACACATTGACATTCCTCCGTAACCAGAATGATACAATTGGTACCGCTTACCATTGGCTTCACCGGAAGTTCTATTTTCCAGGTACCAGAAGACATGGCAGTTAAAATAGAGTTCCCAGAGTTCGATATCGAATCGACAACCACTGGTTGTTTGGATTACGTAGAAATAAGGCAGAATTTGATTGGTCAACCCGGAGTCAAGTAGGTCATATCTCAAAATAGGTCAATCCTCATTTGCATATGTAAATTTTCAAAGGTAAGACGAGTTAGATACTGGGGACAGAGGACAAACAGCTCAGAAAGCATATGCCCAAATCCCAAACTTTATATAAATTGGAGATTGGAGCGTCCTCAGAACAGCCGTCGCCCAAATTTAGTTCTTCTTCAAATTGCTGTTTTCAGATACTGTGGTAATAATCTGGTATCAACAATGAGAAGTTTACATAACAAGGTCATGGTGACATTCAGGTCCAATTCCCAAACCACTAAATCTGGTTTCAGAGCTAAAGCTTCAGTAATCCGTCGTAAGTACCTGTTATGTTAACTCATTGTACATAACATGTCGTTGAATAGTCTAATGACTATGACTATCCAGCTTCATGGTTACAAAAAACTTGCAAACGCACACATTCTATAGAGAAGTGCTGAAGTGAGCAACAAACCTTCCTTCATCAAAGAAATAACGCTGGAGAAAATCGACAGTATATCTAGTCGTTTAAAATAAGTAACCAATGGAATAGCATCTCACTCACAAGACGTTAGGACTTGTGAGGCATTTGCAGGACTATCAACAGTGGCTGGTCATGGTCAATCAAATCGTAGAACGCCGCACCCAATCCTATATTATGTCTGTTGAAAGATTCTAATTACTCTATGTTGTCCTTTCAGCCGAAGATTATGCCTATAATCCTCAAGACCATGGTATATCTTACCGAGGCAAGGTGAATTTTACCCATCTTTTCGAACCGTGTCTACCCTGGAACCAGGTCACACATTGTCCACACAACCCCTTCACTCCTACGTAAGTTGTTCTCATCTCATCTCATACACCAAAAGCAACAGGGTATGCTTTGGTCAGCTGGAATTGGGTGTTCTGGAAGGAGGATTACGTCACATCCTCCAAGGTTAAGGGGTACTTGATACTGGGTGTTCCGGAACGGACATGAAAAAAAGGTTTAGCCTTTCAGATTCGACAATATATATAAAGGAACCCATGGGCAACAGACTGTGCACGGTAAATACCCCTCGACAGTTGGAAGTCAAAACAGGGTAGGGTAACGCAGCTGGGAAAATGTCTTCATTAGCCCATTAGGTGCAAAAGTGAGGATCACGTAAATCTCCATCTAATTCCTCAACCATGTTATCTTTCTCCAGAGGTCTAGAAGCCGACCTGACAGAAAACTACTGTAGAAACCCGAGCGGAGAAGATGCTCCATGGTGTTATACTAGTGAAGTTGGCTGTATCAGAAATTACTGTGACGTCAGTCGTATTGGTAAGCCCTTACCTTACTCAATATTGACCACTTCCAAATTCATAGTACCACATATTTACCAGAAGTACACCATATACTTATGATAACAATGTAATTTGTTAAAAACGTTGTGCACGATAATTCATGTACCAGTATAGCACTCAGCGATTTTACTATCTAGTGTGGCAATGTCATGTTATGATGATGTAAATTGTTGAAACGATGTACTTATTCAAAATCATGAAAATTTCAGGGAAAATTCACAATAATTATGATGACTGTGATGCAGTTCTGTCCAGAGACCCAGATTTCTGCCAGAAAGATATCGCCATATCAGGCTGTGCTGTCAGCTGCCAAAACGCCCTGAATATACCTCCAGCAGAGCCAAAATGTAAGTTTCTTTCCCCAAGCGTTCCACACTCCGAGCTTGAGAACTTCTTTCCATTTTTTCCATGTTCAAATAACAAATCAATGCTCAAGGTAATGCTAAGATAGTTGTCCAATAGGTATAGCTACAACATCAGCATCAGCATCAGCATCGTCAGTCATCACCATTATTATCATCACCATCTTCATCACCATCACTGTCGTGATAATCATCGTCACCATCACTATCATCATCATCATCACTGTCGTGATCATCAAACATCATTAACAGTAGAAGCAACATACGTAACAGCATCCTTTGAATAGAAATAGCGTTACCTTGGCTCAGAATTAGAATTTGAAAAAGTCATTGGATGTATTGCCTATACAATCGTCGAAAGACATAAGATACTCATGGTATTTGCTATTATTCCAGACTCTGAAGTTCACTGTCCGGCACCAGAAAAGCTGGATGATTCGACTAACGATGGTGTTAAAGACCAGTATGGTGTGGGAGAACGGGTAGTCTACTCTTGTACCACAGGATACGATACTATGACTAGAACGTGTTTATCCGATGGAACTTGGTCACATGCTGGATTCGTTTGTGGAGGTAGGTTATCCGTTACCCTTTTCGTGAATTAAGAAAACAACATGTGGTTCTTTAACAAAGAATACAACGGAGCCAACAATTTGTAAACTTCACCAAGAAACAGTAAGACGTTGCATACTTTTTATTATTGTAGGATGTCGGACGGGATGGTATCCATTCCGAGGGAACTGTTATAAATATTTCCACCAGGATAGGGACGTGGGGTCAGCTCTGGAACACTGTAAATCTGAACAGGCCAGGCTAACTACTGTCAAGGATATGGACGAGACCAACTTTGTCGCTTCTATCAGGTAAAGGACACGAAATTATTTAATCAGCCACATAAGGCCAATAAATGGATGTAAAACTCCACTTATTCCACTCCAAGTAGCCTTTACCTCAAATTCCAAAGTAAGCTATCTTTTTACACCACCATCTTTTTGCATCCAGAGAGACGATGTTGAAGATTTGGATTGGTTTGAAGAAACAGGATGACGGATGGTATTGGTCTGACGGAACTAAAGCAGAAAACCTTAGGTGGTCCAGTAAGTATGTGTACCATCTATTGACTAAGATGTCCATACTGGTTGTATGGTAGCTCAGGGTGGCCATTTCAGATCTTCGCGTAGTAAAATTAATAGCTTGGTCGCAAACAGGCACAATGCGGTTTGAGGCAGAACGGATTCGAATCTCAGGGTCAGTCCAACAAGCTTAATAAGTGCTCGTCACTCCTGTCCGGTGAGTTCTTTTTTATTTTTGTCGGGGTCGACAAATTTTGGCTGTCGAAGAATGTGTATATGATTTGCCCAGAAGATAATCCTATAGGTAAAGTATTGAACTAATATGCAGCTGGCGTTATAAGAAACATTTATTTTTACTTTGTAGAAGAGCCCTTTTATTATATTTCTACGGCCATGTTGCTCGGTCGCAACGCAGATCGGAAGATAGAAACGCCCCACAGCAACAATCTGAAACTACCTTACGTTTGTCAATATACACCCGGGAGTAAGTAGAGAATTTAAGTCAAGCTATTTGCTTTACCATTTGATACAACTTTGGATTATATAATTCAGAGAAAAGAAGTATAACGTAAAACCCAAACTCATGTGTTCAGTCCATTATGGTACAGAACATGAGGATATAAAACTCAATCTCATATGTTCGGTCTGTTACCATACAGAACAGTAGAATATAAAACCCCATCTTATTTAACTAGTTCAATATGGTAGAGAACAGAAAGGCATCAATCTCCATCTCATTTGTTCAGTCCATTACGGTACAGAACATTTGATCAGTCCAATAAGGTACAGAACGGTAGGATATAAAACTCCATCTCAATCAGTCCAATCTGGAGCAGAAGACTTAAACACGAAACTCGGTGTATTATGATAGGATTGTTGTGTATTCTAGAACAAGTGTTATGTGTTGATCGACTCCCCAACTGTGAAGAGATCATAACCCTGACGCCGTCAGTTTGTAAGAACGTTAGTGGGTTCGCTCAACAGGAATGTCCCTTCACCTGTAACGTCTGTAACCCGACTTCCGGTAAGTGTTGCATCTCATGTTCATGGGTCATCCAAACAATCAAATGTTCTGTTCTATTAAGGATTCTTTTAAAATATGTGAGGGATTCGGGGAAATTCGTGGTCAGGTTAAGTTCATGTAGGTGGTGCTAATCCATGGCCTCTTTCAGTAGGCCTACCTCTTTAACAGTCTAATTATAAACACAATATACAAGATTCTGAAGATGCTTAAGCCACCATTTTAAGTCATTAATATATATTTTTTCGTGATAGGTGAAGTATGTGATGTGGCAATGGCGGGAGATCACGCTGTTCAGATTGGAAGTGACGTTAAACTAAAAGCCGGCCAATCGGTGATGTTTGCCTGTAAAGATGGCTATGGCATAACTTCCGGTAATCTAGGTCGATTTTGTTTGAGGTCGGGAAAATTGACCGGAGATGCACCAACCTGTGCCTGTAAGTGTAATATTGTTCTCAGCTAATTTTACAGAAGCGTATCATTTTGTAGTTGTGAAGGCGAAACTTGATTTTATTTTAATTCTACCGGGCTTGTCGGAATTTTGGCAATATTTTTCTCCTTATACCTGGTAAGGAGCGTTATTTCCGGATCGATGACGTCATAAATATAGAGACTGATTTTTCAGTAATTTTCTAAATTCCAATGAAAACATCGTTATTTTCTAAACCATAAGGCATGTTCGCTCGTATTGTTTTACAGTAAGAAGTTCGTTAGTGACTCTTAGTAATAACGTTAACCTACAAAACAGACAGTTCCCTGGACAATGGAGATCTGGATATACTGGTCTACAGCCACACTTCAAAATAGATAGAGATGGAGAGATTATCCAGTGGCAGTTTTATTCTCTGTCTAAAGGTCAGATTGAGCTAATGGTTTGGAGACAACTCTCGTCTTACAGATCGTAAGTGTGTTAAGATATCATAAAAACTGAAGCACTACTTTGGGTATCGCTATCCCACAATTCATCAAAATATGGGTCCTAAAAAAACTGATTTATGATACACTTTGATTGGTTAAAAATAAATAACAATATCAAAAAAAAAAAGAGAAAAAAAAGGAACAGAATTGTGATCTAATTTTATTTATATTGGTTAGCCTCTGACCTTCTCCGTATCCATTTCAGCATGCAATTGGTAGGACACAACTTTGCTTTGACCGAAACTAGTCGTATCCAGTATCTGGATATACCACCCGGAGAACGGATCCAAGTTAAAGCCGGTGATCTGATCGGGTACTGGGTCCAGGGCGGTTTGGCCATCCCAAGTGACCGTTGTAATGCCGGTTATTCCATAAAACTCAATGGTTTCTACATGCCGAGTCAGTTTGTGACGGGAAACACATATTCCTTTAGTTCAGATTACTACTGTAGAACCTTTTCATTACGGGCAGTAATTGGGCCGGTAGGTAGAGCTACTTATTCTTTTTATAACCCATTTTCAGTAAACCAGAAGTTTCAATAGGTCCAACAGCCATTGGGTAAGGTCTCGTGCCACACTCGGATCTGTTCACAGTTCTTTTTGAAACCCCATGTGGAGTACACAAAGTTGTTCGAGTCTGTAACACTGTCATTTCGATTGATTTATACTCTTGAGGTTTAACTTTCGACAATAAAGAATCATTGAACCAAAAAATAAGCGAAATCATCATCGTTAAAACAGGGCTTAAATACAAGGATTACCTGCTACAGTGAAACACGTAGGCCTAGTTTTGGACTTGTTGATAATAGAACAAATTCATCGTTGATTGGTTAAGTTGAATAATGACGTGGAGGTTGCTTACTTTCATAGCTATCTTATATGTAACATGGTCAGTGATTGGTTAAATTAAATACCATAGAGGTCGCTGATTAAAAGAGCTGTACAATACCTGTAAAAACGATCGTTGATTGGTTAAATTAAATAATGACGTGGAGGTTGCTTACTTTCATAGCTATCTTATATGTAACATGGTCAGTGATTGGTTAAATTAAATACCATAGATGTCGCTACTTAAAAGAGCTGTACAATACCTGTAAAAACGATCGTTGATTGGCTAATTGAACAATGACGTGGTTAGAACAAAGGGAGATTACCTGTGTTATATAATGTTTGAAAATTCTCAACGCACGACGCTGATATAATTCGCAGTTATTCTGTTGCTTGTGGATGGATTTTGTTTTTCAATTACTGATTGGTTCTGATAATCAGACTTTCGTCTTTTCAGGTTTCAAATTAAAGTTGACGATGGAAGACAAACCATGAGAAGACAAAAGGGATAAGGGAACAGATGTAAATGAATGTAAATAAATATATTGCAAGCAAAATCAGAGTTTTAGATATTTACAAATGAGAAAATTAATAAGTCCAATTAAGTGCTAATGGCAATGATGAAAAAGTATGATAGGTCTTAGGTATCTTGCAACAAGGATTCACAGCATAAGAAATAGTGCTTTCGTATATTTCAATCTGGTTTCAGTGGATCAGGGCTAACATAGAAAAAACGTCATTTTATTTGACTCATTTTGCCTCGATGGTCTTCCGTATTTATGATATCAGGAAAATGTATGGACGGCAAATGGGATCAAAAGGTGGTGGCGATACTGAACTCTTATGCACTTTTGAGAAGCAAACACCACATTTCACTGAGGTATTTAGATTTTACTGTGTTCTCTCAGAAGCATTTAATAGGATCAAAAATATGGAAGATCATTCAAGCCATACGTCGGCCTGGATGTTGCGTTGCGTACCGATTGCATGGTCCGTTTTCAGAACATTTCAGTATATATGCCTAACCTGAGGTAAGAGATTTTTAAGCCAGGAAAGTCAATTTCAGGTCAAGAGTTCACGTACACACGCTTTCCACTTTTATATTCTACGAAGGCGGAAGGCACCGACACCCAAAAGAACATGCATATAGTTAAAAAAAAACACTCAACAACTTTTCTGTCCGCTTTTACAAAACAGGTTTTGAAAACGTTTTGTCTTGTCTTGTCCGCCCTACGTATTGATATGGCACTGCTCGTTAGATTGAAAACACAAAACGCTGCGAAACGTTTTGATAATTGAACTCTGAGCAGTCCACTTCGATCAAATTATCCAATTGTTTTCAAGAAAGCTTTCGGGAACATTTCATAATTAAAGGCTTTAAAATCAAAAGCGAATATTTGTGTTAAATTTTTCAAAATTCGGAATGGAATTTCTTTGTACGCATGCGTCAATAATTTATTTTTCTGTTTTTCCCACATTCTTTTCGTCTCTTGTCCTTGGCCATAAATATGGATCAGGTGCTCGCGAAAGATATTCACATCAAAGTTTCTGTCGGTGTACAATTCTAGAAATTTCTCGGTTCGTAAAGGGAGATAACCCCCCACTTGCAGCCCAGTCCAAATCCTCTCGGCCAGTCCTTTCATGGAGATACAATCTGATACTTCCCTTTCACGAAAAATCCTAAAATACGAATTTATCATAATAGTTATTTCTTCGATTTCACTTTTAAAAGATTGGAATTTATCCAATTGATCTAAAAGATTAAATTTTCGAAGCATGTATTTCGCTTCAATATCAAACGACTCCATTTTACCAACGAAATCCGGTTGCAATAAGCACGGACTGCACGCGTAAAACACTGGTTTCCAAACATTATTCATTTTTTCAGGCTGTCGGCTGTCGGAAATGACGTAATCCAAAAATTCCTCAAACGTGGCGTCATGACCACACTTTTCACTCTTTCGAGTGGGATGTTTTCGCTTCATCGCAATTTCCTTCCCGATAGTCGACCACGTGACCGGAAGATACACATTCTCGATATACGCATGCCACAATCGCGCGTATGGATTGCGTACGAATATCATCTTGGTTGTTGAGTCCACTGCAAGCTGATCATTTTCCGACTGGGGATGATATAATTTGAAATACTCCCTCAAGCTGTTGTGGGCTATGGCCTCGTTCAAATCCACTGGACTCATCACAGAATAATCGCCATCTTCATTCTGTAGAGACCTGCAATTATTTTTTTTTCAAAATTTGTTACTTCAATTAAGCGAGATGATCAAATAATCCAAAACTTAAATCGAATGCATCACTAAAAGTGTTGGAATGGATAATAACCAACCTCGCGAATGTAAAGGTATTAACCACGTCAAATTTCGATTTTAATTTTAATGCGATATGGATAACTGAGCCTACGATCAATGCCAATATAGTGTTTTATTTTCCTTAATAGTTATATACATGATATGTTTAAAATGATAATACCAAAATGATACGTAAACGTGTAATTGAAATGTGACGAAATGACAAAACACATTTGTTTTATCACAATTTACTAAAGCAATATGACAAAGTTGACGGTACCATAATAAGTATTAGACAATTTAACAGAGCATCTTATTTTGACCCAAAAACCCTTCCATAATATACACCAACTGACGTCATTGATATATGTGCAAGGGGATAATGAAATCCAAATCTCTTTAATATACACGAGTAAGTTAATTAGCTACGACAGCAATAAATAAAATCTCTAACTAAAATTGAGCTCATTCCTTTTTCAAGAAAAACAAGTATAAGACCCCACAACCCTCTCAGATAATAAAATATTTATACGTACTTGAACGTTTGAAGCCAGAATTTGGATCCCGCGTTTGGAAGTACACAATACGATAATCCAACAGATGAATCGAGCACGACCGATCCCACGGATCCAGATCTTGTTCCCCCACAGACCTTGTCTATCAGCTCTTTTCTAATCTTCTGGTCTTTTTCTCTCGGGCCTATGGTTTTTGATTGATGTTTATCGCCAAGTAGCACCTTAACAGAACAGAAAAAGATAGTGGACCACAGCCATATACGCCCACCACGGCATGCGGATGGTAAATATTCAAGGGCAATAACTCTGCTTCTAACGATCGAAAATTGCTCAAATTCGAACTTCGTTTTATGAACATGTATACACATATACCGAATTTCATTTGATTCCATCAAAAAATCTAGTTTTTAGAGCGTTTACAAGCAAATGTTGACGGACGGACGGACGGACGGACCGACGGACGGACAGGGGTGCTGACAATATACGTCCACATAGAGAGCTTTTTGGTTCCTCTTCTAATCCCGTGTAAGTTAAACTCACAAATAATGTGTAAAGAGGAAAGTGTCATGTTGTTTTTAGTCTTTTTCTACTTTTTTGAGGCCAATTTCAAGGATGGTCTTCAACTATTTTGAAAAAATATTTGGACACATTACCTGTTTAAAGTTTAAAACTGAAGACACTCCTTGTGGTGCAACTGGAATGGAAAATACAGCTACAATGAAATGGGTGAAATAGAGTTTTAAGTCCTACTCTTCTGTAACTTATTTTATTAATGACATGAAATGGAGTTGTATGTTCTTCTGCTCTAAACTAATTGGACTAATGAAATGAAATGGAGTTTAATGTTCTACTGTTCTGTATCTTATTGGACTAATGAAATGAAATGGTGTTTTATATCCTACTGTTCTGTATCTTATTGAACTAATGAAATGAAATGTAGTTTAATGTTCTACTGTTCTGTACCTTATTGGACTAATGAAATGAAATGAGATGGAGTTTTCTGTTCTCTATTCTGTAACTTATTGGATTAATGAAATGAAATGGAGTTTTACGTCCTACTGTTTATATCGTATTTTTATTAACGAATGTATTAATGACCGACCTATGAATGAATGAACAAGTAAATAAACCAAGACTACTCACCTCTAAAAACAGCAAATAAAATAATACCAACCAGGCATAATAATAACAAAAGAAAATGGCTCCATTTTTCACACATTTTCACAAGTTTTATTTTGAAGAGTCTGCACATGCCTTTGTTGAAGCATCTAAATTCGTCGAAACTCATGACAATTGACATATTTTCTGCTTCACATCGTTGACAATGGATCAATTCAAAATATAACGTGACATTTTAAGGCTGTTTTCGATTATATTGTGGAGTATTTAAATTTTATTGACAAAGTACAATGTGTTACAGCAGGTTGTTATATATTATTCTGACAGGTAGCTACTGTTTATCGACACTAGCTTAATAACTTCAATAAATCCCGAATAAAATATATATCATATATATAGCGAGCGAGAAAAATAGGAGCAGTAGCTTACAATCTAGGAATCGGGGTGGTGTAATTATTTCTGATTCCAGAAAACATTTACATAAAAACTTAAAAATGACGAAAGCAACGACACGGCGTGACGAAAGCAACAACATAACTCGGCGAAAGCGATGACATAATGTCTCGAGAGCATTGATAATGATATGAAGATACGGAAGTATCGACATGACGTAAGAACCAACCACAAGACATGAAGAAACACCAACACGACGAAAGCAACGACAAGGCGTGACGAAAAAACCAAATGACGTGATGAAAGCAACGGCGGTGCGTGACGGAAATATCGACATGACGTGACGAAGGCATCGGCATGACGTGACAAAAGCAACGACAGGGCGTGACGGAGAAACCAAATTAGTGACGAAAGCATCGTTATGACGTGATGAAAACAACCAAATGACATACCGTAAGAACATGAACGACAAGATATAACTATCCTGTGGAGGAAAATTTTTAAAAAAAATAAAATAACAAAAAGTCTTAAAAACTTTTTATTGAAGTTTTAACACATACCATTGTTCAATCTTCGATAGATTTTTATTCGGTGGGTTTGTTTTGCCGCATTGCCCAACTTGCCACATCGAGCCCAACTGCAGAAAAGCGACTTGTGAAACGAAACTAAAGGTTTCTGATAAAATCCGGAATGGCCATTTGTTCCATATGAAACGGTTCTGATCGTTTGTAGCCTACTTGGTATTTATTTTCTTCCAGATTTGACCATAAAACTAGTTTCGATTATCCCAACAGGTTCAAATTATAAATATAAAGAAAATCGATGCGGGACAATAGATTAAAATATTTCGTTTCATATGGAACAAATGGCCATTCCGGATTTTATCAGAAACCTTTAGTTTCGTTTTACAAGTCGCTTTTCTGCAGTTGGGCACGATGCGGCAAGTTGGGCAATGCGGCAAAATGAACCCACCGATTTGTATTGTAAACGCGATAGTTCCATGTTCAATTTTCTGCGTACGAGATTTGAGGAACTGGTTCCCTGCGAACTAACCAATGATAGCAGAGTTAAAATGGCAACCATGACGACACGTGGTGCTTCTTTTCAAATTGGAACAAAACCTGACGTCACAGTGGAGGTCAACTATGGCCTCACCCCCAGGGAAAGCGAAAGTGGTGAAAAAGAATCTAGTTTCACTGTCTGTGTAGCGCGTTAGATGGGTTCCATCATCTTTTTCGCATCTGAAAAAATCAAGGCAGAATATTTTTTTTTCGTGAGGGACGAATTTGTGAATTACACGCGTAGTTAATATCTATCTTAAGGGCAAAGGCATCACTTTTTTAGTTTTTCTCTGAACCCGTATTGGTTTTCAGATTGAAATTTCCACTACAGGTATGTCTGCAAAACATACAAACAGCTCCATTGTCTGATAAAACAACTACTTAGGCGACTATACCCAGTTATTATTTGGAAGTTCCAGATCAACAAGAATTAACCTTACCTAAACCCTTGATCATACTGGATTGCATTGGAATGATGGAAGATTTATCAGAATGACTACTTACCCATTGTCAATAAGAATATGGGACTCTGCTTTGGTTGAATTCTGGTCTGGCTTGGCATAGCAATCTTCTAAAATCATCCGCAAACCAGGAACCTTATCAGCGTCTACTTGTACGTAGACTGGCTGACCCACGGTTAGCGACGACGAGGTAACTTTGTTTTGGTAGAGTGGATCGCTGTATAGGTGGATATGACTTTTGAATTGGGTAGAGTTGCCTAGATGATGTTGATGGTTGGACTCAATGGGTGTGAATGAAATTTCCGTGAACTCTTCTCGGGATACCCGGCACTCGAGGTCTATGGCCCAACGGAATTCTTTAATGATGGTGGCGGAAGAATTGACGACGTAGACAAGTTCGTTGGTAAATGAGAACATGTGCTCGTCAATCTGGAATTAGAAATGAAATTGCGATTACATTCTGCTTAGCTGCACCTTAGTGAGCTAAAGTAGACAGTTACCGGTATCGATGGTGCCAGGGGGGATCAGCCAGGAACAATATAGCCAATTCGGTTAGATTTCCAGTTCTTTGTATAGCAGTCTTCGATTCCAAATTAAAAGGGTCTTTCACGTGCACAGTCCTTAATACATAGGGTCCCCACCCCCTCATAACCTCAGTTTAACAGACCTGCTTGGTACGAGTAAAACAATGGTTGAATCCCTCTGTGAATATCAAATGATCTCCAGTAAGATTGCCTGTACAGGTTCCACCAAGCAATAGGTCAGATTCATCGAACTGGGGATACAGCTGTCTTAATGACTGGTAGTCCACGTCTATATTAAAACTGTTGTTAGAGCACGACATGGAGATCAGATCTTCCAGAGACCCATTCACTAAAACAAGAGATTTTATGCCGTATTTGTTACCTCTAGGAAATATGGAAAATAACACCACCGAAATTTCAAAATTGGGTTTTCTACTGGATAATTATATCGAGATCATATATGACGAGTTGTGACGTATCAATGTTGGGAAACCAATCTAAATTATACAATGGACACATGTATATTTCTCTCTAGAGCGCATGCGTCTGTTCTGATTTTTCAAATGTGCCCTGAATGACTTATCCACTTAAATGAAAGATAAGGCGTTTTACGAGCCACATAATAATATGATCAAAAGCACAATTTTCAAACGAATGGTTCCAAAGTAAATTTAGCGGAAATGGGTTTGTCAACCCAGCATCCCCTTTAAGAGTGTCTCCATAGTCCGTAATGCTTATCTGATGACATCCGTTTCAGAGAGTCCACATAGCTTTACACGTATTAAGTATATTCATTACTTACAGCATTTCATTCGTTTAGCAGTTGTTAAGGGGCAGCTACTCGTTTTTTTATGTTTCAAACATCGGGAAATATCGGTCTCTTGTCCTGTACAATTGAAATCATACTCAAACATTTGTTTATTATTCATACCATCTTCGTCTGATACATCTACTATTACATTCCTAGAAAACATACGAATGGAGTTTCACCTCGATATTGGTTCAAGTTGATATCTTAGGCACAGTGGCGGAGTCAGGTTAAGTCCTAGTGGGGTGGGGGTCGAATTAGCCGAATTTCTAACCAAGTTATGAGATTTTTGCCCGAAAACTTGCTTTCGGGGCTGCAAAGGGGAAGGGGGGAGGGGGGAGGGGGGGCTGCCCCCTCTGTCCCCTTTGGCTCCGCCATGGCTTAGGCATAGTCTCAAGAAAAGACGAATCGTCTTTTTAATTTTCAGTTCTGTAAGAAAATATTGTAAGCCGGTCCCCCGATGAAGGCAAATTGAGTTGTCAAATGCATTCCACCCCTAAATACAGACACTCAGAGCGGTTGAAAGTCGAGGAATCATGAAGACCCTAGCAAGATGGCGTGGAAAATGCTTTTATTATATAACTCATTGTCCAGTCCCAGTTGAAACAGGCGACCATGTTGGAAAAAGGTTGTAATAACAAACACATCCCGTTTGGCTATTGATCTTCCTTGATGATTTAATTCCAAACCCTTACCTTATTCTAGTATTTTATAAGATTATCTTGCAATTCACCTATTTCAGACATAATGATTCACTAGTTGTTATCTATTAATCCTTGTTAAAATATTCAAGCCTCCCGCTATTAAGCAGAAGTTCGCCGTGTTCTGCTTCGTTCGATACCTGCTGTGAAAATAGTGTTCACGAGGTCAAGGTGAAGGTCGGAAAAGTTGTGAAAATTGGTGTCAACAATTCGTCTTCTTTTTTATGACTTAACAAAGAAGTAAATACAAGAAAACGAACGAAAATTCACAACATTAATTAACTCCGTAAACACGGTAACCACAGGGGGTATAGAACGAGGTATTCGTCATTGAGAATTTAACGAATGTTACAACGAAGATGTAATGCAATCGATCAAGGAAAATGAAAGGGGTAGTCGAGAAAGAGAAAATTTAAAACCACTGACTTAAACCTACCCATCAGAATAGCCAAGTTGTCGACAGACGACGTTACCAGCTTGAATATTGAAATCTGGAGGGCAGACTCCTTTCCAATTGTTGTCATGGAAAACTTCCACATATCCTTCCTGGGTTATTTGAACATTCATATACACTGAAATAAAATTCCTAAATAACATAACTTTTGATTTTTTGAGGGTGAACTGGGTGAACTGAACTGGGATTTCAATTTTCAAATTCTTCCGAAAAATCGAACTTGCAGTCTAACTTGATTTCGTATGCTGATTCTGAAAATTCCTATGGATAGCCAACATTTTACATGTGATATTATGACTTTATCCATTGACTGAAATAATAAAGTTACTCACTACAATCAACTCCGACCTGTTCACTAAGTTGACAATTGTTAGAACCCCATTGTAGGTGCGTGCAATCTTGAACTTTTGACTCAGTACCTCGACATGCTAGTCCATCCAACCAAAACTTCCCTTTGTTTATAAACCAACTGTAAGCATTGTGTGTATTAATCAGTGCTTTAGGTTTTGCTACTCTGAAAATCAAAGCCAAATGAGGACAAAATCAGCTTGTGGATTTTTTTTTTTTTTTGAATGCAGAATTTTTAACCTGTTTCACTTACGCCCGCTTTGATATTGGGCGAGTAGATGATGTATTCAGTCCTATCTTTTAAACTTAAAATTACTTTTTGTCTGTCCTGACCCAAGTCCATGTTTGCCATGTTGAGTTCTGGATTAAAAAATTTCTGGGTAAACTACAATGACTTTTTCATGACCATTACAAATCAAGCTTTCGGACAATTCTGATTGAAATTCATCCAAGAACAATTTTTCGGAACACCGAGTAACCGAAATATAACATCTTCCACGACTGACGTCATAATTCATTACACCATCCAATCAAATCCATTGCTAAAAGCGGGCTTTTACAAAATATTGATCTACCTCTTAGGATCAAGGTATCCAAGTTGTCGGCAAACAACAGTAGCATCCGGAACACCAAAATTATCATCACAAACGTTTCCCCACTCTCCACTATGGTAAACCTCCACCCTTCCCTCGACAGGTCCTCGTTCAGTACTCAATCTAAGAGTCACTGGATCTGAAATAAAACAATATTTGAACATCCATGTTAGGTTTGCAGCACAGATGATATCTCGTCTATACGTTAGTAAACACGCTAGTAAACTCATCACACCAATTAATACGTCATGCCAATGAGACGTCAGTAAACTCGTCAAGCAAAATAAATACGTCACGTCATTGAGACGTCAGATCAGTAAACTCGTCAAGCAAAATAAATACGTCACGTCATTGAGACGTCACATTATTAAACTCGTCACACAAATTAATACGTCACGTCATTGAGACGTCAGATCAGTAAACTCGTCAAGCAAAATAAATACGTCACGTCATTGAGACGTCACATTAGTAAACTCGTCACACAAATTAATACGCCATGCTAGTGAGACGTCACATCAGTAAACTCGTCAAGCAAAATAAATACGTCACGTCATTGAGACGTCAGATCAGTAAACTCGTCAAGCAAAATAAATACGTCATATCATTGAACACGCGAGTGCACACGTTACGTCATGTCAACAAGCATGTAATGTCAGAAAAGAACGTCACGTCACTTCAGAAAACAAGTCACGTCAGTAAACAAATCAGTCTGTACACGGTACAATAGACCTTTTCCATTTAAATATGATTAGTATGGAGTAAGAGTGATTTGAGAAAGACGTCAAGGTGGTGATTTTATGCAGTCACATAACGTTACCTTTTCAAGGTTTGCATTATGAGCTTCGTTCTTGATTCAATATGGACGACGCGTGAATAGGTCAATAGGTTAGGAAATACATACCAGTTATAGTGACCGTTTTATCAAGCTGTAGATGAGTCGTGCCTAGGTGGTCACGACCCGTGTATCGGCACGAATATACTCCAGAGTCATTTTTCGTTGGATTTTCTATATCCAATTGGAGGTAAGATGCTGTGACATTGGTAGAAACTATAGATCCAGTCACAGTGTATTTCTGTGTAGACAACCCAGCTCCCAGGACTGGTGCTTGTCCAACAGACACTGAGCATAGCATTGACGGGGACGTCCCATCATTGGTCCTTCGGATTTCAAGGTTGAAGACTGTGTTGACGTGAGGGTCGTTTGGAGGAGAGCATCTCAATGTGAGGTTGCTTGATCTCTCCCGGATAAAAATCGCTGGAGATATAACCAGTACTGGGTGGCCAGCTAGAAAATTAAAAAAATTGAAGTCCAAATACATACAATTTGATAAAAGTGAGGACCTTGACCCTTAGAACTAAAGAAGCTGTGACGTCAAGAATATGTTGACATCGAAAATACGCACATCAAGAAAACACTTAAAAACGCAGATGCAGCGTTCAATTAAGTCTTATACAGGCGAATCGAAGCATCTATTTATACTTACCGTCAATGGATGTGACTCCTGAAGCCGCAAGAGCGAAATGATCCGCGCGAATCAAAGGTTGATTTGCGACCTCTATTTTTGGGTTCTGGCTTGGTTTTGGGTTTTTGGAATGGATTCGGATCCGTAACCAGAATGTGGTCGGACGTAACCATACTTGGACGTGGAATGAGGGTGGTAGTTTATTTGAGCCCCATAGTGTTCTGAAAGAGAGTATATTTTTATTTAGACAATTTCTAGTCTTTGTATGTGTATAAGAGAAACTTGTAGCTTCTATTTACATCATTCTGATTTTCTAGTCTTTGTATGTGTATCAGAGAAACTTGTAGCTTCTATTTACATCATTTTGATTTTCTAGTCTGTATATGTGTTTTGGATACACTTATAGCTTCTATTTACATCATTCTGATTTTCTAGTCTTTATATGTGTATCAGAGACACTTATAGCTTCTATTACACCATTCCGAATTTCTAGTCTTTATATGTGTTTTGGGTACACTCTAGTCTTTGTAGGTGTATCAAATACACTATAGCTTCTATTTGTAATTCCAGAAGAAACTTCACGGTCGATAATATCACGTTGCTTAATTGATAGCGACGTCAAGTCTTTTTCCCCATCCTAATCTGCCCTCCCCATTCTCCCTTCTGACGCGTAATATTTCCGATTTATAAAAAAAAACAATATACTTACGACAGTGTACATACACAATAACCGTCACTAATATCTACAAGTATAAAAAAACCCCAGAAAAGCTCGAAAAATGAAATGGAAATAGAGTTTTACGTCCTACTTTCCGCACCTTATGGGCTAATAAAGACGGGCAACACCTGCAGTGTACAGTGAGGGCAATTTTGCCGGGACAACGGCATTAGCCTACTCTTTTTCGATTTCCAAAAGGGATTTTTAACGTGCACACGGGGTCTCGGTTTACTCTTGAATTCGAACAAGGTTTTTTCCATGTCAGACCCCACGCCATCAAGACCAATATTTCCCGGTGGAAAAATAAATGATATTGTGCTACCTACCAAAATCACCCTCGTGTCCATTATTCACCAAAGTTAAAATCTTTATCACCAAATTATGTTCTTATCTCGAAAGTCTTATCTGCAAGGTATGAAACACTTATCTCAGAAAAGCTCATTTACTTTTAAAGGCCATGATTCGCCATATTTTGGGGTTAATTTGAGCCTTGACAATAACGTAATTACTCAAACTAGGAGTCAAGGGGGGGGGGGGGGGGGGGGGGGGGGGGGGTTAAAAAGGGGCCCCCCAAAAAATTGGGGG